CTCAATCTCTGTCTTGTTGTTTTTTAAGCTATTTTAGAGTTCTTAGTAACACTTTACAACAAATGCTCACACTTGTTTGGTCGGGGATACAACCTAGTGTCAAAAACATCCTTTTGGCTTGTAGAGGTTTCAAGCTTCTACCCAGCATGTCCCATACCCTAAAGGTTCCTTCTCTCTAGTTCTGTCCCCTTTAGGGCCGTCATAGCTGCTCCTTTAATGTCTCCAATCACAATTGCTATGAAACTAGGGATTGCATCGGGTCCCTCTTCTATAACGGCATTAGTGGCACCCCTTCGGCTACTTTCACAGAGTTTTTTCTTGGCAAGTCTTACGCCATCATCCTTGTTGACGACTACAACCTCTCACCTCCATCACCACAAACAAGGCATTTGGGGCATGTTGTGATGTCAAGTGCGTTACGAGCAACCTCAATTTGATATGTCCAACAAGAGAGTGGTAGTGGCTTGTAAGAGTGCTTGCTCTGCCTTCACACCTTGCCGACGTCAAATTGCATGATGTTCAAGACGGCATGCCCTCAAGCTGGCTCTTTAGCATGTGATGACCATGAGAGATAAAATGAGGCCCGTAAGAAATTTATAAACTTAATGTCTGGTACTAGAAACTTCAATTTAATTACTTGAGAGACAAAAATGTTATGTAAAATATTTTAGGGTAGTGGGTGTTCTTTCATAAAAACTTTAAGGATAAAAATATATCTTTACCCTTCAAATTATGTGTATCTTCTTTGTAGTTTTGAAATACAACTTGGGAAAACACAATCTTTAATCTTTATAGTTTTATTGGGTTTTAATTTTAGTCTTTATATTTTTTTTTTCATTGTTTTCAATCTCTATAGTTTTAGAAAGATTAAGTGACCTTTATTTTCTAAATCCTTATAGTTTCATTTTTTTAGTGGTTTTAATCCTTATAAAGACTGAAAATATTAGAAAAAAAAATTATAGAAACTAAAAACAAAACTTGATAAAATTATAAGATCAAATATTATATTTTCTCATATAACTTCCATATTTTTATGCTGCAGCTCAATTAGCATATAATTTACAGGGAAAATTTTAAATAAGGACCAGGGATATGACATAGTTACTAGTGGGTCCTAAAAAATCAGAAATTTCTGTTCATTCCAGGGAGATAGAAGTGAAAATAAGTTCAAATATAAAAAAATCAAAGTACCCTTTATTTGTTATGCAAAATCACTATTTGTTATTTTTTTGCTTCACTTGTTAATTTATCAATATGAGTTGTAAATTATATGTGTTGACATATCAATAATTATATAAGAATTGACATTAATTGTTCAATCATAAGTAGTAATATCAGTTGTTAAGTTACTAACTTTACTTGTTAATTTACTAATATTGATCATAAATTATTGATAGGTCTCACAATTTACTAGCACCACCTATTTTGTAATTTATAAATGATATTAATAAATTAATAAGTAAAGTTAATAATTTAATAACTAATATTACTGCTTGTCTAAAAAAATATAAGTAATTTACAAGTACTATTGGTAAATTAATAAATAAAGTAAAAAAAATTAACAAATAGTAATTTTGCATAATAAGTTAAGGGTTCTCTAATTTTTTTATAATTAAAATTATTTTTAATTTTATCTTTTTAGAATGAACTAAAATTTTAAAATTTTTTAAAATTCACTAATAATTATGTCCCATTGCTGACAGTTATTTAAAATTCTTTCAAATTTATATCCTGAACCCAACAAAAAAAAAAGGAAAAATCATCTCAATTTAGAGTCAATTGTCTATGTTCGTTGATTTAAACTACAACTAAATGTCATGTCAGGCATCAGAGTAAGTGGGGAAAAAGAAAAATAATGGGAGCAAAAAAAAAAAAGTTTCTGTCATTTAATTTTCTTAGATATTGAAAAATTTTATTCTTTTCTTAAAAAAATCTGATTCAAAATATCTCTCATTGATATATCTTCTGAAATTTAACTTTTTACTATATTTAATATTTTTTCGAAAGCAATTCACATAAGCCTCATCAATCAGCGGACGTTATACCTAGACATAAATATCTGACCGTAACATGCAAATATGAAGACTGCGATTTGGAAGGAGGGTCAAGTGATGGTGCACGTGCGTAGGCCTCTGGGCTCTTAATTAGTTTAAGCAAAACAATCTGCGCACGTGATTGTCACCAAATATTATATTATTATATATATATATAATGAATAAAAATTGCTAGGACAAAGAAATGAAAGATGGTTCTAGGAAGGGTCATGGTAAGATTAGATTAATATGAATAAACATATAATATACTTACTTTATTTAAAAATATAAAATATTTTTAATTAAATCTCACCTCCTAATAAAATTTTTATCTATTTTTAAAATAATCATATTTTTTTATATTTATCCCTATTAACTACCTTATAATAAATATAAAATTACCATCAATAGAAATATTTTTAAAAAAATAATAAATAATTATACTTTAAAAAATTAAAAATATTTTATATTTTTTAACAAAAGAAATATATAATATAAATATAAATTATATGTAAATCCCGTCTTTGCTGACTCAAACGCCAACAAGGGCTCAAAAAAAAAAAAAAAAAAAAAAAACTCAAACAACAACGAAAAGTCAGCAGTCTCTAACTCTAAAGTCAGAAAACACCTACTTTTGAAAACGTTGACCCCTTCTTCCACGCTTCCTCATAATCAATTTATTTTTATTCATAAAAAAAAAAGACTTATATCACACAATTTAAAAAAATTAATTATATTAATTATATTTAAAAATAAATAATATATTATAATATTTTTATTAATTATGTTAATCAAAACTTTATTAATTGATTACTATAAATAATAAAATTATGAAAGATAATTTAAAAAATTTGTAATAAATACTGATTAAAAATATAATATTTTTATATAAAAATAAATTAAAAGTGATAGTTTTTTTTATAAAAAAATTGAGAGAGTATATATGTATATATATTCCTATTATATATAAGTGGTAGATTTATGGAAAAAATTAATTTGTGGGGTGAAATTTAAACATGATATGTATATTAAATTAACACAGACAATAAAATTTATTGACACCAGAAACTAAGTTATATCATTATAATAACAAAATAAAATAAAATCTCAATATGAGTACATTTATATTAAAGGTCATGTGATAAGTGGTGGTGAAATTCTTAATAGAAATAAATGCAATTTTTCATGTGGGTGGGGTCAGGGGTTATGAACCCCAACGGCCAACGGTTCTATGCTTTGCTGTTGACTCTCTTGGTCATTAAAAGTCTCAAGATGAATTATATATGAGAGTAAACAAAGTTTACCTATCACAGATTTCCATTGCAGAAATTTATGTGTCTACAGTATTTTCATACTCTCCATCTCAGTTTAGAAGATAATTTTAAAGTCAGTTTGATGATACAAAATACAAGAGAATTTGATAAAAACAAAATTTCATTAAATATATTTTTTCAATATTATCCTTCCTTTCTTATTATATTTTTTCTTTATTTAATGTTTCACAAATAAGGTTATATTAAATTAAGAATATTTTTAAAAATTTATATTTTGATTTTAAAAAAATTAGACTGTAAAATATAATTTAATGAGCTTTATTAATATGTGTACTTTTATTTAAAAATATCTTATAATCTTGGTAAGAGGGAGTAATATATAATCCTCGATAGTCAATAGAATAGTTGAGGATTGTTATTTTATTGTTCAATTAATTATTATCATTGACGAAACATTATATTATGAAAAACGAATCACTTAATAATTTGCATATTTGTACGATGCAGGGAAAATTATTGCGCTAGTTTCGAATAAAAATTATACTAAATTTAATTACATATATTCGTTTTTCAAAATCCGCTCCAATATAGTCAAATGAATCTTTGAATTTAACTATTTCTGGCAGAACCCCGAGTGAACAAGGGAGGTGAACTCGTATAAATTAATCCAATCAGTTGGACCCACCTTAAGTTTATATATCCTTGATTAATTTTTTTAACTATTAGACGTGAGATTCTTTTTTTTTTTTTTTTGGTGGTATAGGCTCTAATATCCCTCACGTCATGTTCTGTCATGTAAACGGACTACCAAGGAGGTTGGGATCTGAAGCTTGAGGAACCGACATGGAGAGTAACGTGTTACATTGTTATGCGATGGTTTAATACTACGAGTGGTTTGGTTTGGTTTAAATATCTCGTAGCTTCATGCATCTTCCTAAGACTCAAACTTTGAGTGGTAACTAGGCACGCGCTGTATCTTGACCAGTAAGTTGGTCTCCATCTACACATATATAAAGACCGCGCCGTCTTAATTTCTTGTTCTTTTAATTTCATATCCTCACAGTTGATAATCATGAAACAAATCTTTCAAAAAATTTGAATGCTATTTAAAAGATTGGCAACCCTATCTGCTCTTGCTGTGGCATCATGCTACATGTACAATTTTTTTTTTTAAAAAAAAGATGAAACCTAAAATTTAAAGAAAACATAATTTCAAATTTTGACACTTTATTTAAGTTCTGTTATAGGTCCCTACATTTTTGTGTTATAGAAACCTAAGGTGCAGACAGAAAAAAATTTAAGGGGCAAGAACATAAGGAAAAAGAAGTGCAAAAGCCTGTGACTAAACTTAAAAATGTGAAGACCTAAAATTTTGTTTTCTGTGAGATTTATCAGGATTCACTGCGTAGCAAGTACCTTCAATTAATATGTCAATAATACATAGCGCTTAAAAATTGAGAGTGAAGGGGCCGAATTCGTCGAGGGTGATAGAAGTGATGAAATGCATCAATCCAGCGCATTAAGAAATGAGGAGTTGACTGGAAAATAAACGTCAAAACCTCAAATTGCCCTCAATTAATGCACCAGCTAAATGAACCAGATAGCAAAAGTAATGAAACAACTGACAAGGAGACGTCTTGCCACCCGGTCGAGACAAAATATCCGAGGATGAAGTTGAATCGAAGACCCAACAAGAAAAAAATGTGTGTCTATATACATAACCAGGATGATTTGCCAAAGCCCGCCTTTAAAGCAAGAAAGAATCCACCTGGACATTTCGAATGAATCAAGACTACATACATGGTTAATCATAATCTAATAAATTACAACACAAACAGATCCCTCAGGATCCTCAATCTACATATAAAGTATCTATAACGAGACACTATTACCAAGATGTGTCTCATCGTCTATGAGATGTTTCCACAAAACTTGCTATCCTTTTGCTTGAGAACAAAAACCCCCACATTCGAAACCTGCTCCTTTGGACACAAATGAGAAATGTAGCGATGCCCTTCCTTCATAGCCCCACACATTTCACCCACCTGAAAACTCGGCCAACTCTAAAGGGCAACTCATAGTCTTTCATGACGGCAGGCTCCCTTCTAGCAGCCTCGGCTTCCGACCACACATAGACCCCGCGTTCCTGCTTACTGCCAGGCACAGTATTGTCCAGGACAACAGCTACAACAAATGCTACCACCATGTGTAATGCAAAGAGTGTATTCAGGACATAATTGAACTGTACAAGAGAAATATTAACCCGAGTGTTATTCTAGAAAGTTCTCGCATGTTAAAGCACAGCACAAGAGTTTCTTCTGCAAGAAGGATTTAAGGAGTGAGGCAAGTTTTTCGTTGGCAAAATGACATGGGACCAGCATGCATATGCAGACAGAAACTTACTCAGAAAGGCTATTGATTTTCAAAGAAAACATATCCAATTTACACATATCACCCCATTGAATATGAGGTTGGTTCCTGCTTTCAAAATATAACAGAAATAGTGATAAAATGACGCAGTTTTGTAAATCACACTCGTGCAGATGGGAGACAGGGCTTTGTTTAAAAAAGAACTGGTCCATATATTCATCAAAATAAGAGGTTACTTAGTGAAACCAAATCTCCTTCATCATCCATCACCTCTTTACAAGAAGGTAGTGGTGATCAAAGGTACAAAAATCAGAATTAGCTACATGAGATAACCTTGCAAGAGTTAGCAACCTGGTTAAGTTCTCTGTACATAAATTTAACTGAAACTTGCTGATTTCTGCCTATAATAGATCGGGCCTCCTAAATAATGTCCTTATAGGGATGGGAATCAACCTGGTCCCTGGCGATCACATTTATCGCTTCCATAGAATCACTAAATGCTTCAATTTGCCTCAGACCCCTATGCCAGCACAGTTTCAGCCCTTCTATCACCCCTAAAGCCTCACCGCAATGGCTGGAGGATATTTACCTAACTTACAACAAAAGCCTAGAATCCAGCTTGCATCACTGTTACAGATTACACCACCACAAGCACCTTCACCATCACCAATGACAGACCCATCAAATATCCAATCTTACCATACCCTGTATTGGAGGATTCAAATTGCACGCACTCCTACACATTAATTTTCATCGTTCCAAAATGGCTACTTTGGAGAAACTCACTCAAGTTTGATGACATAGTAGAATTTGGCACTATCAAATTTAAACAAACAAGATTCTCAAAAGCTGAAGGACATAACAAAGAGACATACCCCTCCATATTTGGTGTGGAAAGGCCCATGAGAAGCCACAACGTAGGGTTGAAAATAACTTGGCACAGACAAGTTGGAATTGGGAGATATGCCATATTGCTGGAAGTAGGCAGGGATGGAAAGAGAGAAAAACAACGATAACCCAACTATAATGATATTGCGAGAGCTTCCAGCCTCACTATACCGTAGATTTGACAATCCTAATGCTGTAAGCATTGCCCACATAAAGCAGAGGAGACCAGCAACCATGACTTCTGGAATTGAAGCAAAAAATCCTCCAACTTTACCTGTTTTACCATAAACATGACAATAATTAAAATATATTTGCAAGTAAAAACTTTCTTCAGAGAAACAGATTAAGAAAATCCAAAATAAAAAATTAGACAAGGCAGATTTTAGGAAGCAATCTCACAGCATCTCCTAGTTGTCATATAGTTCATTGCTAGGTCCCAGGAAAAAAGGTTAGTCAGCTAAATACTAATCAACACAAATTGATAGGGTAAGCAATCTCCGACCGAAAATACTATTTGAGCTACTGACATGCACACAGACACACATATTGTTTGCGGGTTTGCATGTTTGTCAGTTTGCGTGCCATCCTATGGATTCAGATTTTGATAACAAGGCAATGATGTAAAAGATGGTTGGCATTCATAGGTTCCGTTTGGTTCGGTTTTGAGAAAAAACCAAACCAATCAATTCACTAATACTTGGGACCTACTTGGTTTTTTTCCCCCCCTAATTGGTTCAGTTCGGTTTGATTTAAATTTGGATCAAGTTTTAGTTTTTTTTTTCTGAGATATTTTTCATAATCAATATATATGAATAGTACTTATTTTTAAATTTTAACAATCAATTAATATTTTCAATGAAAAAAATCGCTCGAGAACAAAAGAATATTTTTTGACAGTTATTTAGCACCTTTTAACTATTAAAAACTAATATGTTATCCTTAAAAAACTTGATTATAAAATTACAAAATTATCATAAATTATAGGCAATTAACTAATTGTACCATATTTTTAACTAGTGATTTATAAATAACTAAAGTTGGGAAAAAGAGAAAAATTTAACAAATTTATAAAAATAAATATAATAAGGTTTGATTCGATTTGATTTAAGTTTCAAAAGACAAAAACCTGAACCAAACCAAACAGTTTTGCTAAAAAAAAAAAAAACCAGACATTATTTGAAATCTATTTGATCAGTTCATATTGGTGCCATTGGTTTGGATTGGTTTTAAACACCCTTAAAGATGGATATCATCCAAAACACAATTTATTAAAAGCCACATTGTCTGCCAAGAAGAGACTCAAAATGCCACTCAAACATCAAGCAGCAATGGGCCTACATGAGTAAAGGTCCATGCCAAAATTTTACATCAGTGACTGCAACTTCAAGTAATGTGGCAGTATGCAATTTAAGATCCAAAAATTACAGATAAATATGTGGATTGATCCACTGGCATTACCTTTTTATTAGAACCGATGACTGAATATCAAAGCAAGTAACATTATGAACTCATTCTTGTAAAACAGCATAGCAAAATTCAGCTGCCATAAAAGCAGCAAAATCTTGGTTCATTAAATTTTAAACACGGTATATTTTCAGAACTTCTAGGAAAATTTAGAGGGGCATAAGCCAGAGCACATACTGTAAGGCTTCCTCAGGCATACTACGTATTGCTAAGAAATTCAAAATTAATTTTGTGGGGTCAATATTTAGCAGTAACTTTCCTAAATTATCAGTCAAGTTTTGTTTCGTTAACATCATGAAATGGAATTTCATACGCATTTGAGTCTCTTTTCCTATTACATTTTTTATTTTTAAAGACCAACTACTCTAAATGAGTGCATTGTTCTCAGAGCAGTCAAAATACAAAAAAAGAAAAGAAAAGAAAAGAAAAATGCCAGGTGCACTCATCATGCTTTGAGTGAGATCACTGAGGCATAACACTGAACCATCAAGGGTTAGTATGTATATTGATCTTGCATGTAATGCGAGCACTGTGTAAGAATGATGAAAAAAATCTTGCAATGGGTGGGGCAAATCTAATAGAGTCTGTTAGAAAAAATCATGGTTCAGATAGAACAAAGTAATGTACATGGATGTCACATTGAAATTAATAAAATGATAGTTCAACTGCTGCATGAATTATTCATGGATGTCCGTTTCTAGAGATCATGCTTACATTCACTAATTTACAAACTGTCACAAAAAGTATAATCATCCTGTACAAAAGAATTGGCATAAGTGCTACGGACTAAAGTTATAGGGGAAAAAACATAGAAGTCAAGACAAAAGAGAGGATAAATGCCGCATAAAGTTGCACAAGTTCATTAAAAGAAAGATATATGACACACAACCATAAGGGTTTTTTAATCTTCAATAACTCAAAATAAAAGTGCTTTCATAAAAGCCTAATCATCACCAGTCACATCCACCCAAAATAAATCGCGTACATTAAGCAAGTCAGATCAGTCAGAACCTAGTGAAGGTCAATGCAGAAAGAAAATTGGCACTTACCCACAAGAGACAGCACAATCATAATGCAAGCACCAAGCTCAACTGCCCTACGACTTCCCATTTTAGTCACCGCAATAGTGTGAACATTTTCAGTTAATGTTGCAGACCCAGTTCCAGTTCCCCAGAGACCAGCCAAGACACTAGAAAGACCTTCCAAACCAATTCCTCGACTAAGAACTCCAGGAGTTGGAGGTCTGGATGCTACCAATAATGAAGATGCATGGTATGAGCCAACCTAAGAAATTCAAGGCAAAAGGATGACAAGAATACAGTGATTAGATAATGATGGTAGATTAATGGTTGATCTCCCAAGGATCAGCACATTATATTATTTGACTGACATCACTTCAAAATAGAGTAGTTTTTTAGTGCTTGCAACAGGAACAAGATGACAAAAAATTATATCAGATAAATGCAATATGACAAATGTTGGTTTTAACTTTGCATTTGATAAACTAAACTTGACAGTAATTTGTCTATCCTAAACATTGCCCATCCTCAAAATGCAGTAATTTTAATTAGGTAAAGACAATATGACAGCCATTATTTTAACCTAGGATTTGATAAACTAACCTAGACATTGCTCAACTTTGCAATACAATAATTTTTTGGCAGTTAAATAAAGAACAAAGAAATGGCAAGCGGAAAAGGTCAGATAAAGGTACTATGACAACCACTGGTTTTAGCTTTGGATTGGATAAAATTAAACCCCAATCTATGTGCTCGATTCTCTGACTAAAAAGAATTATTAACCTTGTTGACAAGGTTCTTGGTTTAAATAAAATAACAGAAGCATTTCAAGTCAATATCATAAGCAAGTTCCAACAGCATTAACCCACTGCGTTCATTAAATATGCCTACATCGTAATTAACCATCACAAGCTCATACTATGCTTATGAAGAGGAAAGTCCATCACATTTTAGATATGTCAACGCCCAGGAGATGTTAAACAATTTATAGTTTTGCTACTATAACTCAAACAAGTTAAATAATTAACAAATAGAATCATGATAAATACTACAACACAGAAAATAATGTAGAAAAAGACACTGAACTAACCGAATCTACTGATGAGATTAAGGAAACCACACACATTACAAGAGCCATTTTCCAGCAGAAGACAGGAGTACCCCATTGAAGCGGATAAGGGAATCTAAACCAAGGGGATGATTTCAATGCATGGGTAGTATCGACTCGACAATGTTTCATCCTTGAAATATGTTTCCTGCAGTGCTCTGATACCATATTTGAAGCTGGAATGTTTATATCACAACCTTTGTAGTTATAGGCTCCAGCTTCAGTCAGCATGAAAGCAGCCGCCCATGTAATTGCCAGGCCCAATGGAACCTGGCAGTTAGATCAAGAAAATACTTTCACACTTAAAGCAAATGATCAGGGTCCACAATTAAGCATGCCCATAATCAGGAGTAACTTAAAAACTTACTGCATATATTAGAAATATGCGATGACCAAGGACAGATATCTTACGAAGATACTGCAAAAAGAAAGAGAGAATAAATTTAAGTATTTAAGCTCATTGCAAAGGCCAACCTTGGAGATGATGGGAACTTCAAAATTTTCCAAGGTAAAGTCAATATACTTACAAGAGAAAATACAATAACCACTAATATCTGCACTGCACCAATCTCAATACAAGTACCAACAAGTGGAAAACCATAACTGTAAAATGAAAGTCCGACTGCAGCAATAGTAGGGGAAACAACCACAGGATTTATCAACCTGAAATGGTAACCCACATCAGATAAGGTCCAATATCAGGTACATTGAAGAGGAAAGTTAGACATGAAGGGTAATTTTAATGGTGGATAAAAAAAATAAGGTTTTGTGCTACTGGTTGATAGTTGCAAGAAAAGGTACCCAATGAAACCGGAATCAAGACTTGATTCCCCAGCCACACTCTTAAAGTATTTATTGAATAAATTGAGACACCATTAGACATGCCCATACAGAATTTTTAAGAGCAAGAATTTTTTCCAGACAATTGTAAAAATGATTTTTCTTTATTCTTCTGCTTTTTTTTTTTTATTATCTGGACTGGAGAATGAAAAGTTTAGATAGACTTCTTCCACAACAAATTGTTTAAACTCTGATACTAGCTCTGCTCTATAGCTCTAAACCAATTAATTCCAATTTGTTTTTAAGTTGCAGGGTCAATAGATCACAATGATGTTGAATCAGACTTGAAAAAAGGAGTGATACACAGTAGCGGTGACAATGAACCACATCAAACTAACCATGATGAGAAATATTCCCAACAAGCTATATATAACCCCTCAAAACACAACATTTCTACAAGTTGGCTGTAGATTTCTCAGGCGTTAATTTATTAGTGATAAGCCGATAACCAACAAGTTGTTTGGTATGCAAGACATCAGATATCAAGAGAGAAAATGTAAGAAAAATAACATCTGTGCCTCCAGAGGAAAAAGTGACAGATACTATTAAGCAATAACAACAAAAGTACAATAAACATTACATGTCTCGGTTTTTGTGCTGTTTCCTTTTCTATACCAAACAAGTCAAAAGAGTTAAGTTATCCTTGCTCTAGAGAAAACAACTACGGGTATTAATATTCACACTGTAATTAATAATGAAAGATAAGCTTCCAAAGATTACTACAAATTCTCTAAAAGTAAATTTCTTAGCTTTTAATCAATAATTAAAGCAACAGGCCCTGTTCGGAGGAAAATGATGCAAATTATTTATGCCCACTAAATAAATCCCCATTCAGATGTAAATGAAACCCTCCACATAAGGTTATGAACTCTCTTACAAATAACTCCATCAGCAAGGTACTGTACAATGTCTTGTAAGTATGTTTCTTCCCGCCTTATGCTGCATCATTTTCCTCCACTCACTCATTCAATACTTACTCTAGAATTCATCAATTTGCAATGCCCTATCACAGATCGCCCCAGACTACATGCTTTCTAGTCGAAACATGAAGCTTGTAGTAGTAAAAAAGACGACTACATGCAGTGGTTCCAAAAGCCATACCTTACTAATAGTGACATGAGCCCAGTATATCCAAGAAAGGCTTGGAATGCAGCGCCAATAATTATAGCTCCCTGTAGCTCCTTCATTATATGCTTGAATTTCTGCAAATTAGGATGAAAATCTTATTGACTTGCATAGAAATTCTCACAAACTTGGACGATGCATGCATGACATGGAAAGATAATCAGTAAGGGGTATTATTTGACAGAATGAAGGAACTAGAGGAGAAGCATACATTTCCATTTAATCCTTGAAACTCTGGAGAATTGATTATCGCCAAAGCTGGAGCCAGATAGACAAAGGATGGGCCCTGAATCAAGGGCAACCTTGACCCGAAATTTGTATGCAAGAGTGTAGTCACTCCCGACGTGAAGAGCACCGTTGATACCACCTTAGAGGTATCCTCCTACATACACGACCACATCATATACATTATGGACGTAATAAAATTGGCTGCTGAATATATGCAGCACGAAAAAACCAAAATAAGTTATTGGGAATAGCAATCACTCACCTGAGTGCCTCCCATTGCAGGTACTATGACAAGGGGAATGAGAATCAGCGAGCCTAATATTGAAATGTAATGTTGAATACCGTATAGACCAATGGGAACTGCAGTAAGCATTCGAAATCATCAGGGTATATGAAAATTTTAAACCTTGCGATGATAGCTTAGAGGAGAGAGAAACATTTTCCCCCTTCAAGAGAGTGAAACTTACCCAGACCAGGGGAATCTCTCAGCTCATATTTCATATGAGAATGTCTAGACACAAAACCATCGTCATCGACAGTCTGTGGCAGCACATCAATTACTTCTTCATGCCTGGCTGTTCTCCGCTGCTGCGAAGGCGGGTCCGCCGGCGCCGCCGTTGTCGCTGTTAACTGCCCATTGGTGCTGGGAACAGAACTCTTGGGCACGCCATCAGAATCCCTGCGCTTCTTCACTGTCTGTTCCTTAACCGACGAAGGTGGATGTTTCTCCGCCTCGGCCTCACCATTCACTGCCGGAGCAGCCCGAACTCGACCAGCTTCAAGAGCCGGCTTTGCCTCCGGCTCTCTTGGCTTGGGCGGCAAGCTCATCTGACCAGAATCGCCAGCATTAGTCTCGCCAGAAAACTTGGGCTTAAATCCGGTCCTCTTGGCCCACGAAGAAGGTGGCGGTGCAGAAGACTCGGGCGCCTGAGGCCATGGACCCGGACGCTGTCGGGCTTTGGGATCGGAATTGGACATTTTGAATCAAAACTAAAGACGCATAGCTGGAACGGTACTAGATCTGAAGGGTCGGGTAGGGAATCGCAGCAATGCACTGGAGTTAGAAGTGAAGCTTTAGGGTTTTACAGAAGCGGGGGAGGGAGGAGGTGTATTCCAAAAAAAAAAAAAAACAAGAAGAAGAAGAGGTGGAGGGGATAGCGTCTCGGGGTTGAGGAAGAGAAAGATGAGTAAAGTACGGCGTGAAAGTGAGAGATAGCAGAACGAGACGGGGAGAGGGAGAGAGAGTAAGAATGGGTTTTGGGTTATGACTGAGAGATGACAAAGAAATAAGAGAAGCAAGTGAGGACACCGGTGGGGGAGGAGGTAGGAGCTAGAAAGCTTAAAGCCGCGTTGTTATTAATTCCTTCCCTTCTTCTGCATCTCTCCCGGAATAATCGGTGAGCTGAGTGCTGATGTCACCAAATTTAATTTTGGATTATCCGACAAAGAAAGAACAAAATAACATCACCCCCAATCATAAATTCATAATCCCCTTGTTGAACGCAGTAACGTTAGGAGTTAAAACAGAGGACCATCAATCAAATATATACAGATTTTAGTATTTTTATTATTTTTGACAGTTCACGGTTGATTTGTCTCTGTGTAAATATATAGGTGAGAGATTACTAAATTTAAACTTGGTATTCTGGCCAAAAAAAAAAAACGCCCCGAATTGCACATGATAACATTCGTGAATGTTTAAAACCCATGTTATAGTGTCCCTTTGAAATTGATAATACTTTAAATTAACTCAGTAACATAGGATATTTGATCATCATTAAATATTTTGCAAATAAAGAATGCTTAAAAATAGCCGTCATAAAAAACAAATAGCCATTTAGTTGGCCAACTGAATTGCTGAAATGATATGCAATATTTTTTTTTTTTGGTTGGCTAGGAAACTATGGACTATAGTTTTTTTTTTTTTTTTGGTGATTTGGTAACTGGGAAGGATTGAAATTGAAGGTATAACGGGCGGATATGCACCATAGATCCGGTGACGGTGACATCCCGAGCTCTGGCGACAAGTGTCAGCAGCGGAGCGCAGGCCAAAGTGTTTTGGTAATCGAATGTAAGTACACATTTGCATTAAAGAGATTTGAGAGTTTAGAAATATCTTAGCATTTTGCCGGCTTTTATTGTATTTTCACTTTTTTTTTCCTGTGGGACTTAACAATAATTCTCTTGCAGGTATCAAGCCTGAGAAATCACGAAGGAAGGCAATTTTAATTTCTTCAATTTTCTCCTCCATACACAGTTGCAATATCACTGCGCAAACCAGTTTATTATGGTATTAGAGCAACAGCAATTCATGATCATCAAGGCCATGAATATATACATTATTATTCAAGCATTGAAAAATACGACAATAAAGGTTGAAAAATTATATAAATAACATTTTTAATATTAACCGAGTGACTCAATTAATATTTAAGGGTCGTGGTTAAAGTATCAAATTTGCTTAATTGAAAATGAGGGGGGAAATTCACCCAAAAAATTAATGAACATGAAGGGGTGGAACTGGAAAGCTGTCCAAAATGAACTTGAAAAAAAAAAAAAAAACAGGAGGATAATCAAGTGACGAGGAGAGAGAAAGCGATGTATGGAAAATTTAGGAGCGTCTCGCACGGTAAGGTGGAGCTGGAAACTTTAAAACCTTACATTAATATTTGAGACAAAACATCCGTTTTGCTAGCTAAGGTTAATTATAACATCCCATCACTGTTAAATTACATGGCCACTATCCTTCTCGTGACTATAATTCATTTTTACGCGCTTTACCTTTTTTTTTTTTTGCCATCATTTTTACACGATTTTAACCCTACTCCTTAGGTTTATTTACCGTCTAAATTAGATGTTCAATCGCACTGAACCTTTTGGCAAGCTATTGTTCTCTTGTTTTGTTCCTTAAAGGTCATGGAGTGTTATTATTAATTAATCAGTATATAAAATAGAAATTAATCAAAAAATTATTAATATTAAATGTCATTAATATATTATTCGGTTTATTATTATTTATTAATTAAAAATTAAATTATTTATAATTATTAAATATATAACTTATTGATGGGAACAGTAATGGACAAGTGGGTTAAAAGGCCATTATTAATTTGATTTATTTCAGAATGAATGATCTAAATTAATCTCCCAAAAATGATGAAATAAGATGAATTCAATATTAGTTAGATTGAATAGCTAATTGGCTTTCTTTTTTTATTTTTCTATTTATAAATAGAATATAAATATTAATATATTGATATTAAACTAAAATAAAAAATTATAATATATATATTCATCATATTCCTTTTTATTCAAAAAGAATATTATAATTAAATATTCTAATAAATTAAAAAATGAAATAGAAATATTTATTAATATTTAAAAAATATAAATTTAATTACAAAGAAAAAATAATTTTTTATTTTCAGCAACCCCTAGTGAAAGAATTTATTCAGCTGTCTTTCGATTGTTTTATGAGTATGCGATTATGGAAACAAATTCTTTTTTTAATCTAATCCAATTGTTTTATACTCTTATTTTCATTTAATCTAATCCATTTGACAGTAAGGATTAGATTAAATGAAAATAAGAGTATGCGAAGTGAGCTATCTTGATTCTATATTTTTTTACTTAATGAAATTGAAAAAAGTCCCACCACGATTTGATATTGTTTATATGAAATCCATGTATATTATATTCTATTTTTATCATTTCGTTCACGAGGAGCCATATGAGGTGAACAACTCGTGAACAATTCTATAGTAAATTAAAGATAGGATGGAGAAAAAATCATCAACTATAACTCCCAAAAAACCATGTTCTACAAACAACATAGAGCAGGAATAAAAGGGATATCCTCTCGAGGTAAGTAAACAGTCCAGTCCCTTGGATTTATTTATGGCCTTCGAGAAGCATGAGGTGAAAATCTCATGCACAGTTCTGTAATAGCAATAGGAATAATAATTTTATCATTGATTAGGATTATTTAATAGTTTAAGTATGGTTGATATAGTTGACGTGTAGTCAAAATTTTTTAGTGTTTTGCCAGCATTTTTACTCGATTTACTCATCCTCCTCTTCTACTATAATGAATCCTGCAACTAATGAAAATGCCTTGTGAGCTATTATTGTAAAAACAATATAAAAATCAACCATGGAACGTGATAAACAAACAAGATATATTTTACATCACATGAAAACAAGTAAACATTTATCATATTTATATCACACTTGGTCGGACAATACTATTTCCTAAGAGTGTCAAAATAATCAATGTTTAATTATTGTATATGTAAAGTAGATTTTTAAATATCAGTAACAAAATTGTAATTTGATCAACTGCTTGATGCTAAAAAAATAGCTGTCTCTTACTATTTTTGGATTCAGTTATCAATAATATGATCATCTAATTAATCATTTAATTTTTGCAATAATTCTTTAATATATTTAATAAAAAATGGAATGTTTTCAAGTATTGTAATATTTTTAAGTATTGATTTTTCATTTTGTAAAATAAAATGTAACATAGAATGAACGAATAATAAAGAAACTAGGAATATGAATGAATAATAAGAATTTTTTTAGGTGAAACGATCATCAATTGTCATCAATTCCACATCCCAAAAAAGAACTATTGGCACATTTAAAAATTTACATCTTTAGATAGATTTTAAAGTGAACTCTAATTGCAAGCAGTTTTAAAAAAGTAACGTGTCAATAAAATTCTCAAATGACCTAGTATAGGGTAACAATAATCCCTTCACATACAATCAAATTCATTTTGTGTCAAATTGAGTGAATTAAAGTGAAGATACACTCAAGAAGTGAAAACTCCTCATCCTTGATTAAATCCTCCACAATCCTCATGAGCGAATTGACAAAACCCCGTTGAGCTATGTGTGATGAGGTAATAGGAAGAAAACCAAACTAGGTTGCCCTTGTGAGGGGACATTCACGTAACATATGTTGAAGAGAATCCAGAGTGTCACAACCAAAGCAATGCAATAGATGATAATTAAGATGATGAGCCTATAGAGTGTCCTCAAAAGGAATAACGTTACAAATAATCTTCTAAATAAAAAGAAGAATTTTATAAGGAACGTGTAACTCCCAAATAAATGACAAAATACCAAGGGTTGGTTAGCAAGCCTATTCTTCTTAGATAAAATCCTACAACTTTCTCAGACAAAATAGCTACCTTTGTGCTTATGAGTTTATTAGAAGATCCACAAAATGAGAGAGGGGTCTGCAAAATTTCCTTTATCGAGTAAGAGTCGTAAAGTCTCTTTGTCAGGCTTAAATTGTAGCTTGCAAGACACCAAGGGTGAGAATTGAAAACCATTAAACTAGAAACCTGTAAATTTTGTAAAAAGAGCACCATGTCGAGGTCACCGCCAATATTCTTGAGAAAGAAAAGTAGAGGAACTATCACCCCTGCCATTTAAGATTCTTTTAATGACATTAGAAGTTTAGAACATGTCTTTCCAAAACCATGAAGCATTATAAGGCATTTTGAGAGACCAATCGTTATAATTGACAAAGTATTTTATCTTTAAAGTATCGTGCCCAAGAATGAGTGAGTTTCATGACTCATGATTTGCCAGACTTCCTTAGCTAGTGAAGCAAGATTCGTGTTCCTGGTATCATGATTACCCAAGCTCCATGTTTATATAGGCAGAAAAGAGATTCCCTTATGGTGAGATGAATGTTCTTTTTGGCATCATTAAATCCCCATAAAAAGAAAAAATCCACCAACTCTGCATCATTAACGAGATTACAAATATTTTTAGGAAGCAGTTGGCAAGAAAGGATATAAATACTAGAGGGTGGTATACATATCTAATTAAGGTTAGCCAAAAAGCCTGCGGTTTGGCTTTTTAAGAAGAGATCATCCTATTGATAGAATCTATGACCTCATCAAATTTTTTTTTCTTATCTCTACCAGCATCAATCCACGTTCCCAAATTTATACTTGCCAAATAAATCCGAAAGTGGAATATAAAAAAAAGTAGAAGCCCTCTATTGACGATCCGAATGCATGCTAGGACTAGGAATGAGGCTTGATTTGTCTGCAAGTTAATTTTCAAACCTGTTACTAAAGCTCTTTAGTATAATTTTAATTTCCAAATCTTATCAGCTACTAGAAGTCAGTAGAAAATGTTTTTTTAATACCAACTACCATATTTCCTTTACATTTTTCATACTAGGAAGGTATAGCCTAAATTTTTAAGAAAGATAAGACTTATATACTTAATTTTATATGTTAAATATACTTATATTTAATCAAAGGATAATAAGTACTTCTTCCATTTCAAATTATAAGACATTTT